CGGAAGACTCCAAAATGGCGGCCAGCACCAGTGTCCATGTGGTAGAATGTGTTCCCCAAAATGGCTGCCTCCAGTGTCTATGTCCCCAGGTGAGCTCCAGTTACCTCCTGTCTGTCCAGGAGGCCCTCGAAGATCAGCAGTTGAGTCTGACTCGGGCTCTTTTCAGATTACTGCTTCTGCCCTGGGTCCTAGAGCATGTGAGATTTTGTGTGCACCCTTTAGGAGTGGAGTCTGTTTCCCACAGCCTTCTGGGTCTCTCAAAAGTAAGTCCCACTGGCCTTTAAGGCAAAAGCATTCTGTAGTCTTTTCTTCCCAGTCAAGGACCTCTGGGCTGGGGAGCCTAATGTGGGTCTCAGAGCCGTTCTTCCTTGGGGAGAATGTCTGCGATTGTAATCATTCTCCCTGTTTGTGCATGGTCTTCCCAGATATGAGTTGAGTCTACCTGTACACTGCCCATCCTACCTGTCTTGTTCTGGTTCCTTCTTTAGTTGTAGAAGGCCTTTTCTGGCAGACTCTGATCTTTCTTATCCATGGTTGCCCTGTAAATGTTGTCATTTTGGTGTGCCCATGAGACGAAGTGAGTTCAGGGTCTTCCTACTCTGTCATGTTGGCCAAGCTCCCCATCATTAAAAAGGAGATGGGATCCCTTTGCAGACTGGAAAATGAGGGGAAAAGAAACAAAAGGTAAAACATGGGGCCTTCAAAGACAAAAGCACCATAATATTCACTTCAGTTCAGTTCAGTCACTCAGTCATGTTCGACTCTTTGCGACCCCATGGACTGCAGCATGCCAGGCCTCCCTGTCCATCACCAACTCCCAGAGTTTACTCAAACTCATGGCCATTGAGTCAGTGATGTCATCCAACCATCTTGTCCTCTGTCATCCCCTTCTCCTCCTACCTTTAATCTCTCCCAGCATCAGGGTCTTTTCAAATGAGTTAGTTCTTCCCATCAGGTGGCCGAAGTATTGGAGTTTCAGCTTCAGCAATGGTTCTTCCAATGAATATTCAGGACTGATTTCCTTTAGGATGGACTGATTGGATCTCCTTGCTGTCCAAGGGACTCTCAAGAGCCTTCTCCAACACCACAGTTCAAAAGCATCAATTCTCCAGTGCTCAGCTTTCTTTATAGTCCGACTCTCACATCCATACATGACTACTGGGAAAACCATAGCTTTGATTAGATGGACCTTTGTTGGGAAAGTAACGTCTCTGCTTTTTGATTTTCTCTTTGTTTTTCTGCATTTTCTTAGTTTGCACAATAAGTATAGATTTGTAACTTTTAAACTGTTATTTTCAAAAGTGCTACTATGACAAAATCCATGATGTCTCTTCTTTTCAATATGCTGTCTAGTTTGGTCATAACTTTTCTTCCAAGGAGCAAGCGTCTTTTAATTTCATGGCTACAGTCACCAACTGCAGTGATTTTGGAGCCCCCAAAAATAAAGTCTGTCACTGTTTCCACTGTTTCCCCATCTATCTGCCATGAAGTAATGGGACCAGATGCCATGATCTTAGTTTTCTGAATGTTGAGTTTTAAGCCAACTTTTTCACTCTCCTCTTTCACTTTCATCAAGAGGCTCTTTAGTTCTCGCTGTCTGCAGTGTCATCTGCATATCTGAGGTTATTGATATTTCTCCAAGCAATCTTGATTCCAGCTTGTGCTTCTTCTAGCCCAGCGTTTCTCGTGATGTACTCTGCATATAAGTTAAATAAGCACGGTGATAATATATAGCCTTGACATACTCCTTTCCTGAGTTGGAACTAGTCTGTTGTTCCATGTCCAGTTCTAACTGTTGCTTCTTGACCTGAATACAGATTTCTCAAGAGGCACGTAAGGTGGTCTGGTATTCCCATGTCTTTAAGAATTTTCCAGAGTTTGTTGTGGTCCACACAGTCAAAGGCTTTGGCATAGTCAATAAAGCAGAAGTAGATATTTTTCTGAAACTCTCTTGCTTTTTCAATGATCCAATGGATGTTGGCAATTTGATCTCTGGTTCCTCTGCATTTTCTAAATTCAGCCTGATCAACTTGAACAACTATAATATTACTGGACTCAGAACTTCCTCTCGATTCCTCCATCACTGAGAACAAAAATTCTTTATGAAAGACTCTAAACTTCACTGCACTGACAGAAGGGGGCACCCTTTGACTAGGAACTTTGTAAAAGTACTCCAGAATTTTGATGACATAGACTAAAACTGTAAAAATCTATTTGAAGGAAATGAAACATGAACTTCATGTTCTCCCCCTCTCAAAAGCCATTTGAAGGAGAAGCAAAGTATAACACAACACTCAAAACTAAGAAAACTGATCTAGAACAGACTGTTAGGGTTTTTAAATAGAGAAAAATTCTTCAGAACTCAAGAAGAAAATATCAACTTACAGAGATAAGATAATACTTTTCCATAACAGCATTCAGAAAAATGTTTAAATATTGTTTAAAAAAATTTTTAAGGAAAAAAAATGTGTGAACTAAGTGTTTTATTTTCATTGAATCTATTCTTGAGGCATCAAGACCAAAGGAAAACAATTTTAAGCATGCTAAAATTCAGTGATTTTTGTGCCTATGAACCCTCCTTGAGGATCATCCAACAAAAGATGAGTGGGGAAACATTTGCAAAAGGACTAAAGGATTGAACAAATAACAATGTGTTGTGGATAATTAGGGACATATTTCTCACTGTTGGGCAAAGAAGTGAAAATGAGTGAAGGGGGAAGCTAGAGTAATGAAAAAGGAGGCTAAAAATGAACCTGTGATGTTGGATTGGAATTGGAGGTGTCGATATGAACTCATGATTTTGGAGAGATAGATTTTAAAAATTAGAGTGAAGATATGCAATTACATATACACATACATATATACAAGTACACAAACACACACACACACAAACACACACACACATATACACTTAGACGTAAGTGTTTGTATATTTCCAAGTCTATCTGTTGAACCCTAGAAGCGATAACATCTCAGTAGCAATAAGCACATGTACACATTTAGCATACAGATATTGGTTTCTTAATGTCATTCTGCACTGATATGAACCATTTCTTTCAGAACTGGCTACTTTCAGGATTAGGTTGAGAATGAATGAGATGCGCCCTAAACATCTTGTCTGAAAAAGTAGGAAAATGGTCACAGAATGATGGGGGCATCACGATGACTCCTGCTGTCTAAATCTAGGACAATTTGAGCATCAAAATGAATGACTGTTGCTGAATAACTAAGTGTGTCAGACTCTTGCTACCCCATGATTGTAGCCTGCCAGGCGTCTCTGCCCATAGGATTTCCCAGGCAAGAATACTGGAGTGGGTAGCCATTTTCTCCTCCAGGGGATCTTCTCGACCCAGGGATTGAACCCATGTCTCTTGCATTGGCAGGCGGATTCTTTAGCACTGAGCCACCAGGAGAGCCCTCAATGAATAATAGTAATGGATTATAGACTATTGTATAAAATAGGAAATCATGAGCCCATATTGTTTTAAATAAATGAATAAATCCATGAATGAATACATAATGAAGGAAAAGCTTTTTCTCACAGTAGAATCCCATTTAATAAAAGTGGAAAGAATGATAGAATTTTAAAAATATCTTTTTGGTAATTATTATAATAAGTGTTTCAGTAAAGAACTGTCAATAAATGATACTAAAACTAGTGGACTAAAAGTATGATGAGTTAAAGAATATTTCTGCTTTATCGACTATGCCAAAGCCTTTGACTGTGTGGGTTACAACAAACTGTGGAAAATTCTTCAAGAGATGGGAATAACAGACCACCTGACCTGCCTCCTGAGAAATCAGTATGCAGGTCAAGAAGCAAGTTAGAACTGGATATGGAACACAGACTGGTTCCAAATCAGGAAAGGAGTATGTCAAGGCCGTATATTGTCACTCTGCTTATTTAACTTACATGCAGAATACATCATGAGAAATGCTGGACTGGATGAAGTACAAGCTGGAATCAAGATTGCCGGGAGAAGTATCAATAACCTCATATATGCAGATGACACCACCTTAGGACAGAAAGCAAAGAGAACTAAAGAGCCTCTTGATGACAGTAAAAGAGGAGAGTGAAAACTTTGGCTTAAAACTCAACATTCAGAAAACTAAGAATGGCATCTTGTCCCATTACTTCATGGCAATAGATGGGGAAACAGTGGAAACAGTGAGACTTTATTTTGGGGGGCTCCAAAATCACTGCAGATGGTGACTGCAGCCATGAAATTAAAAGGCGCTTGCTCCTTGGAAGAAAAGTTATGACCAACCTAGACAGCTTATTGAAAAGCAGAGACATTGCTTTGCCAACAAAGGTCCATCTATTCAAAGCTATGGGTTGAAAGTTAGAATATGAAGAAAGCTGAGTGCCAAAGAATTGATGTTTTGAACCATGGTGTTGGAAAAGACTCTTGAGAGTCCCTTGGACTGAAAGAAGATCCAACCAGTCCATCCTAAAGGAAATCAGTCCTGAATATTCATTGGAAGGACTGATCCTGAAGCTGAAACTCCAATACCTTGATGTGAAGAACTGACTCATTGGAAAAGACCCTGATGCTGGGAAAGATTGAAGGCGGGAGGAGAAGGGGATGACAGAGGACAAGATGGTTGGATGGCATCACTGACTCCATGCACATGAGTTTGGGTAAGCTCCAGGAGCTGGTGATGGACAGGGAAGCATGGCCTGCTGTAGTCCATAGGATCACAAAGAGTCCGACATGACTGAGTGACTGAACTGAAGTGACAGCATCTCTCCACAAATACAAAATATTTACAAGGGGAAAACCAGTAACCTTCACATGGAAAAGTTAAAGGACATCACCCTAATCAATGATCAGTGTAAACATCACCAGGAATGTTACTCACCCTCCCAGTTTTTCCCAGCAAGTGTCCTACCTGGTGTTCTAGCCAATAGGGTGAGACTGAGTTTGGCTCAGAAGCAAAAAGAAAAAAGGTTTCTCTTTGATCCAAGAATGGAGAGATAGGAGCTCAAGCTCTGGAGCATGCACTCCGAGGAAAGGCCCTCAGCGGGCGCTTCACAGGCTCAGCCTGAGAAGGGCGGGGTGGAGCTCTCGCGGGCCAGGCTGACTGGGCGCTCACCGCACTGCTGCCGCCATCTTGGCTTGAGGCGCGGCGAGCGGCACTTCTGCGCAAGTTTCATGGAGCGCACACGTCCAGAGCAGCGGTTTTACACCAAGAACGCTAATCCAGTGTTGGATGCCCGGCCTCCATACATGGCACCCTACGGGCAAGTGAAACTAGACTAAGCCCAAAAGAACAGATTAAACCTTATTACCTAGATTTGCTGGTGACAAACCCCTTCTCCGTCGTGTCGCGCTCCTCATTCTTGGGGGACACTAAGTTGGGGGGCGGTGGTGGCCCATCTTCTGTTACTGTTTTCTGCTGTGTTTGGGTGTAGTCGTAACCCCGGGGAGAGGAACAGAACTTCCTCCAGCCACCTTTAGATACATTTGATCGTCACTGGCTTTAGTCCTAAATGTTTACATCCCTGAGTAAAAATCATCTGGAGTTTTACAGATGCTATCCTTTTGGAAACAAAGGACCAGACAATTTAAAACGCGCGGCCCAGATATCAGCAAGAGAACAATGGTTATTAAGGAGTTCAGGAAATGTAGAAACCAAGTGAGGCTGGGGAGAACCTGCTTCATTCTACTCGGAATTTGTTCAACTGGAGGAGGCTGAAGGGCTTCTGTTAGCCAAGTTGCTTTTTCCAGTGGCCTGTCTGCACTTTCTCCAGTCAGGACCGTTGCACTGACATAACAGCCACACAGTGTATTGGTGGAGCACACAGCCCCCTTCCCTGGTCAGCTAACAGATAATCTAGGGCAGTTCGGTGGTCAGCAGAGTTTTGTATGGGGTTTAAAGGCCTGGCCTACTTCAAGGTATCAGTTTTTTTCTAACAGTTTGAAGTTGAGGCCAGTGTCATGGGCACTGTCACCACTGTGGCTGTTACCTTTATTATGGAGGCTGGGGGTTTTTTTCCCTTAATTTATTTTAATTTTATATTAGAGTATAGTTGACTAACAAGGATGTGTTAGTTACAGGTGTACAGCAAAGTAAATCAGTTATACCCATACCAGTATACATTCTTATACAACTTATTTCCCCATTGGGGTTATTACAGACTATTGAACTGAGTTCCCTATGCTATACAGTAGGTCCTTGTTGGTTAGCTATTTTAAATATGTATGTGTGTTCAGTCACTTCTGTCATGACCCAGTGGGCTGGAGCCTACCAGACTCTGTCCACGGGATGGGAAGCCCTTTTTATTTTTATTTTTTCAGTTTTATTTATTTATTTATTGACAGTATTGTGGTGGTTTTGCCATACATTGACATGAATCCGCCATGGGTGTATATGTGTTCCCCAACCTGAACCCCCCTTCCCACCTTCCTCCCCATCCCATCCCTCTGGGTCATCCCAGTGCACCAGCCCTGAGCACCCTGTCTCATGCATGGAACCTGGACTGGTGATTCGTTTCACATATGATAATTTACATGTTTCAGTGCCATTCTCCCATATCGTCCCGCCCGCACCCTCTCCCACAGAGTCCAAAAGACTGTTCTAAATGTCTGTGTCTCTTTTGCTGTCTCGCATACAGGGTTATTGTTACCATCTTTCTAAATTCCATATATATGTGTTAGTACACTGTATTGGTGTTTTTCTTTCTGGCTTCACTCTGTTTTAAATATAGTACTGTGTATATTTGTGGACAATATACACAGTGTTTTATATATATATATATATATATATATTCATATGTATATAGTCCCCCCGGCCTGGGTCACTAGCATCCCCCATAAGTACAGTAACCCCCATGATTCATAGTCCTTTGGCTCTTTTGGAGCATTGTGGCTTCTTCTCATGGGTAATGGTCTGACTGTAAACTAAGTTTGGATCTGGTCTCAAAGTTCTTATGGTAACACAGCCCCTCACCTCGGCACTGTCTAAGCATTGGGATGCCTGGCCCCTTGTTGAGTTTGAGAGCTTACCCAAGAACTTGTGTCCTCTTTGTAAGCACACTGGCCCTATGCCATTGGCTTGAGTCCTCAAAGGATCAGTGTCCCCTTTCCTTTATCAAGCTCAGAGTGACAAAGGGAATGCTACTGCTGTGGCCCTGGAGTTTGGTGAGGAGAACGGCCCTGGTGTGGCCTCTCCTGCCTGTACAGAGGTCAAGAGGCCAGCACTGCTGTGGCTCCCTCTTGTCCCTCACTGTCAGCCGGCGTCTGGGACCTTGGAAAAGCCAGCAGGAGCAGTAGGCAGGCACGCATGAGTTTCAGTCTCTGATGCTCAGACACGTGGCAGTGTGACCATTTCAAGGGGCACAATCCAGATGACTCTGGGGGCTGCACTGTGTGTATACCACACCTGGGTATCAGTTTCCAGGCAGAGTGCTTTGAATGAAGCTGCTCCTCCCCTCAAGAGGGAACTCAGAGATCAGAGGCAGTCATCCTCACCTGAACCTCCCAAAGTCTCCGCCATCCTCCGGCTGGAGCAAGTTGAGCCCAGAGACTACGGGATAGGTGCAGGGGAAAAGGCCATGTTCTGTCATTTCTGGGGTGCCCAAATTGGCATTGACACTCCCAAGTCTGTCCCCAACAAGGGTTCTCCTGCCCAGTGTCTTTGGAACCAATAGAATGAGACCAAGTTTGGTTCAGAAGCAAAGGAAGTCTTTAGTCTTTAATCAGAGAATGAGAGGTTTGAACTTGCACTCCAGAGCAGGGGTCCCCAACCCCCAGGCCATGGACTGGTGCCTCACGTTAGATTAGAAATAAAGTGCACAACAAATGTAATGCACTTGAACCATCCTGAGATCACCCCCCCCCAAAAAAATTTGTTTCTTCCATGAAACCTGTCCCTGGTGTCAAAGGGTTGGGAACCACTGCAGAGTACATATACTCCCCGAAAGGCCATCGGTGGGGCAGCACCCTAGGGTTCTTGTCAGCGGGGGTGAGTGGCCGGAGTCCTCCTGGGCAGGTGCACTTGTGTGGCTCAAGGCAGCTCAGACTGCAGTGCTAGGCACAGCGCCTCTGCACACTGCCTGCATTGCCATCTTGACTTGAAGTGCCTTGCACAGTGCTTCTACACACAGCTTACCAAATTCAGGTGTCAGGACTGGTGGTTTGTGCACTAGGAGCTCTAATCTGACGGGCTAGGTGCACACAGCCCCCCACAGGCAAGTGAAACCGGACTAAGCCCCAAAGAAGATCTAGGTCTTCTCACCTAGATCCCATCTTCCCTCTCCCAGGGACCCACTGGGTTTTGCCGGTGCAGTAACAAGACAAATTGATAGCATACCTCCTGATGTAAAGTAGTAAGGAAAGCATACATTGCAATCATGGTATTCTTGCCATACATTGCATAACTTGCTTCCAATCGTGAGGAAATATTCTGAAGGCCTGGCTGAGGGACATTCTCTTCAAAAACTGGCCCATATTCTTCAAAATGCCAAGATCATGAAGGACAAGTAAAGGTGGAGGAGCTGAACCTGATTTAAAGAGACTAAGGATACATATTACACGTGAATACAGCTTGCCACATGAAATATTCTTTTGCAATAGAAAACATTAACGGGACAAGTGGCATTTGATTAGCTGACGGTATGACATTTATTAACATTTTTGTCAATGTTATTTTCTTGAATTTGATAATTGTGCTGCCTTTGGTTTTTAAAAAATTCATGGTGACATATTTAAGGAGAAAAGGCATTATGTTTTGCATCTTATTCTCAAAAGGTTCAGAAGAACATGTATATACATCAAAAAGGAAATAATTAAGCAAATGTTGTTAAATGTTAACATTTGGAAAATCTGAGTAAAGAATGTACTTTTGTAAATATTCTTGAAACTTTTTTGTAAGTCTGAAATTGTTAAAATTAGAGGTTTTAAAATGTCATTATTTTAAGATGTTAATGACAGTATGCAAAAAAAATAAAATAAAATGCTTTGTAGATAGACTACTAAAATTGAAAACTGGATCAAATTTTTAAAAAGCCAGTTATACCAGGTAAACAAATAGAAATGAAAAATCTCAAATTGCACTGTTTCCAATAGCATAAATTTTATCGTATGCCTAGAGCTAAAGTCAGTGAAAAGATGTAAAAAGCCTCTACACTGAAAATGACAAAACATCATGGAGAAAATCTAAAGATCTAAATAAACAGTGAGATCCCATAATAAAGACATCACTTCTCTCCACTTGATCTAAATATTCAACACAGTTTCAATAAAATTCCTTGCAAGCTATTTTTTGTCCTGGAACATGACAAGTTGATCCTAAAATTTATATGGAAGTATAAAAAAGCCAAAAATATACCAGAAAATTTTGAAGAAGAAGAAAGGTGGTGGACTTATACTATCAGGTACAGAGATTTGTTATAAGATGATAATCAATTCAGTGTGATATTGAGAGGGTAACAGGCAGGAAGGCCAAGGGTCTCCAAACAGAGGAAATAGGCTGCAAGTGCCAGACATTTTTCTCTCTCTTAAGCGGCAGGAGGAAACAAACCAGCGATATTTTTTTTTCTTCTCTATACAAATTTAAAAGGAGGTTTCTCTTAAAATGCTGTGTTGCCACGACACCTGATTTCACCTGAAGCTAATTATTCTCAAACCTTGAGTTAACCAATACATTTTTTTAATGGAAATGTTTGTCTTAAGATATGTTAATTTACCCCAGACTCTGTAAGTTCCGCCAAATGGCCCAACCTACTTACTCAGATATTGTTCCCTAAGCTATGTAAACGAAACTATTTGTGTGGGAATCTGCCCTTCTACAAGATTCAAGTCAATGGTTTTATGGCCGGGGATGAATTATCTGATGCCATTCTAAATTTTAAGACATTCCTTTCTTTTCATTAACAGATTGCGAGTGACTAACTTACAGCTGAAGACTAGCAGGGGGGTACCCCTGCCCGCTTCTGATGCCCATGTCAGAAGCTTTCTCTATCTCCTTTATACTTTAATAAAACTTTATTACACAAAAGCTCTGAACGATCCAGCCTCGTCTCTGGCCCTGCATTGACTTCGTCTCCTCCGGAGGCCAAGAATCCCGGCGTCTTATCGTTCAGCAACAACCTTTCAATATGAATGCAAACATAGAGACATCTATCAAAGGAAGAGAATAAGAGTCCATAAACAGAGCCAGATACGTTTGCTCATTTGGTTTGTGGCCAAAAAAATGACTACAGATACAGAGGAGAAGGGTAGACTCTTTGAAAACTGAAGCTGATTCAATTTGCATAACG